TGATAAAAAAGAATAAAATAAACACAAAAATAAGAAATAAAATAAATACAAAAATACAAAAACAAATATATTCAAATAAAAAAAAAGAAATAATATAAAAAAGAAGAGAAGAAAAATATAATATATCATCAATTATAAATATTATATGATTAATATATAATATGTAATATATGATAATAATAAATTCATATAATATAGATATAAGATATAAAAATTAAATAATAATAATAAATGATAAAGAAATAATAAGAGAAATGATATAATAATAAATAAAATATATAAATAAAATAATAAACAAAATAAAATCAATATAATATAAATAAAATAATAATAAATATAAAGAGAAAATAGATATAAAATATAAAAATATAATCAAAATAAAAATAAGATAAAGAAATGTATTAATATATAAGAAAATATATATAAATAAAAATATATTCATATATAAAATAAAATATAAATAATAATAATATCAAACTAATAAAATAAGATAAATATAAAATATATAGATAAAATGATGATATATATAATATAATAATAAAAATAAATATACAAATAAAACATATAAATATATAAAAATAAAATACATAAATAACATAATAATAAAAATGAATACATACATTAAATCAAATATCAATTCTGAAACATTTATAATTCAGAACAATTTATCATAAAATGATATAAAATATAACCAAATATAAATGATTATTGAATGAGTATTTACATTTTTAATTTTTATTTTTAAGAAAAAATAATAAAAACTATTATTTTATTGATTCAAAATATTTTACCCATGATATAATTTGTAGAACATAATTGTCTATAAAAAAACAAAAACAACGTCATTAGAATCATTCATAAAAAAGTCAATATTGTTATTTTTATATCCTAATTGAAATAAATATTACTTAATTTATAAATTAATTTCATGAACACTAGAAACAATATCAGATTAATAATTAATTTATTTTTATTTTATATTCATATCTAATTCATTTTTTAAAGAATATCAGAGTTATCAAAATTAATTTCATAATTTCTTATTACACTTTTCTATATACTATTTAATTTTCTAAATGAATGAAAATTAAAACATACTTGGAAATTCTCAAAAATCTTATTTTATTTATCAAAACATTTATCAAAAAAAAAAACAAACCAACATTATCTGTAATAGTATTTTGTAAATGATTTATTTTCATATTTTAAAATTATATTAACATATATTCTTATTAAATTCTTTTTGATTTATTTAAAATGTTGAGTTATTAATGAAGCAATTTCTATTAATTATCAAGATAAATGAAAATAACTGATTGTTGATTGCATTAATTTTGGGAAATTGATTATTAGCTAAAATTAAAATTAAAATCATCTTCAGTGTGTGTTACTTAGTACAACTAGTAATTATTTCGTTTACAATAAAACAGAGTAAGTACAAAAGTGACGTAGATTTGTTTTAATGATCAACTAAAAGATGGATATTTGTAATACAGTTGAAAGTGTTGATTTATCAATTTTAACGTTTTATATAACAAAAAAGAAATTTTGAAGAGAAAACTTAAAAAGGAGATTCATTCAAACAATGAATGAAGAAAGTATGATATCTCACATTCTATATCGACATGAACAATTTATAAGAACACACTTGAAAGAATACTTAAAAGAATCTGATGAAGAGAAACAAAGAAAATATCAAATAGCTGCAGCAAGTCAAGGGTGTTTACCATTAATTATGGAGTTTGTTGAAACAAATTCAAGTCTTGTAAACTCAGAGTTATTGGGGGTTGCTATCTATAACCAACAAATCAATGTTGTAGAATTTTTATTAAATAAGATGAATGAACTAAAACAAGTACCACTTGGTCTATCATTCACCAGTTTATTCAATATTAAACATTACCCTTTTAGTACAATTCTTCAAGAAGAAAAGATTCCATCACTTTGGATACATCAAGAAAATAACAAGAATAGTATATCAATTGAAGAAAAACATTCTAGTAATTCTATTAATTCAAATACATCTAAAATAATTAACGATAAGAATAAAATAAATCAAGAAGATATAACAAATTTTGAAAACAAACAAAAAGAGTTATTAACAAACTCAAAAGGTATTGAACAAAATAATCTTTTGTTTATTGGAGGAACAATCATTAATACATCTTCTACATCTCAAGAAATTTATACATCAATTCCTATTCCAGTTCAGACAAAATATATTGATATAACTTCTTCTTATCGTTCAAAATTTACAATCAATATTTATATTGGATCTTTAGAAATAAAATGGGTAAATAATGTCTTATTTACTCCAACAGAACTACATTCTCTTCCTATACAATCAAATATTCCTCAAAGATTCATATTTACTAGAAATCATATTCAAATTCAAAGAATAATAATTCCTTATCCACCTGATACAATAACAATCACATTATCTATTAATTTAGAACCATATTCTTTTATTATTCTTTCAGATAATTCGATTCCTCCATGTATAGAATCAAATTATCTTCCTTTCATTGATTTTGATTATCCACCATTACTTGCACCATTTCTACCACCACCATTACCAACACATCTTTCAATTTTAGTTTATTCTCTGGCATTAACACCAAATGAAGAGTTAGTAAAATGTGTTATAAATTCAATGAATTCAGAATGTTTATTCCAACAAACAACATATGCAAAACATCATGCATTGAGAATGGCTGCTTTTTTTCATGAACCAATCACATTTTTTGCATTATTACCTTATGCAGAAGAGTTAGAATGTTCAATATTCAGATCTCTTGTTTGCACACCATTTAGTAAGTCACATCGTAAAATATTATTAACATTACCAATCAAAGAATTTCCAAGAGAAATTATTGGTGGTATTGATGATATTGTTGGATTTAATAATGCATTAGAAATGTATCCATTTGCAAATCATATTATTGATTATATTAAAATAATCAAAACAGCTTTAACAACAAAATCTTTTTATGTTTTGGAAATATTACGTTCAAAAGATATAGTTGGAATAGATGAAAACTTCTCTAAAGAAATTTTAGATTCTTTACTTCTTTCTGATTCTCCTGCAGAAGAATATATTATAAAAATGATTCCTACTCCATTAACTTATTATTCTGCATATATTACAAAATACACTAATCCTAAAATGTTAAAATTTATTTTAGAAAATGGAGGAAGAGTTGAACAATTAAATGGATGGAATATTGAAAGTGATAAAGTTGCAATTAATTTTAATACTTCTATTATTAATAGAAAAATAAATGGTAATTATCCATTACATGATGCAGTTAAACAAAAAAATACTATTTTTATAAATTGGTTATTACAACATGGTTGTAATGCTACATTATTAGATGAACAAGGAAAAAGAGCTATTGATTATACTTCAGAAGGGACTGTATATTACAAATTATTAATAAATAAATGTAAACAAATAAAATTAGATAAACCTCAAACAATATTTATTGAAGGAAAGAAAGAACAAATGACAATTACAAATAAAAATGTTATTATTGTTTCAAAAACTGGAAAAAATACTACTAATATAAATGTTGTTGGTATAAAACAATTTGAATTAAAACATTCATTTAATGATGTATATTCAATACCATATAATGAATGTATTATATTAAGAAATAATAATCATATATATATTATTAATATAGATACAAAAGAAGAAAAAGAAATTGAATATAATAATAGTTTATTATGGAATCATCCAATTGCAATTCAAAATGATTCAATTTATGTTGTTTTACCATCATTAAAGAATAAAAAATATCAAACATTATGGTATTCTTCTTTAAAAACACCATCTAAAATTAAACCATTATGTTTTAATGAATATTCTATTGATTATATTTTAAGTCAAAAAAATTGTATTTTTTGTATTAACATTTTAGAACAAGGTATTAAAGAGAAACCATGTTGGATAACACAACACTTTAAGAATCAACTTAATATAATTGTTATTTATTTAAATAAAATTCATAATATTTTAATTCAAGTATGTGATGAAGCACAAGAATGGAATCAAACTACAATCCAACAAATATCTCTTAATAATTTTATTATTTTCTGTTTTGTTAATGAACCATCAATAAAACAACCACATTTTGCAATTGATTTAATTTCAAAACGTCTCTTTGCTCTTCCTTTAGAATTTCAATCATTACCATCATCAACAATAATTCATAATAATAAAGCATTTTCATTATTTCCATCTCAACTTTTAATTCAAAATATAGAACCAATTTTATTTCATCCTATACAAAGATTTATTTCAAAATTGATTACATTTCATCCAGATATTACTTTAACAAATGGAATAGATAAATTAAAATGTCATTCTTTTATTCTTCAAATAAGAATTCCTTCTCTTTTTAATCATATTAAAAATAATATTATTTATATTAATTCAACTACTGATGAACTTTTAACATTAAAATTATTTTTATATACTGGAGATCCTTGTTATCCAATTCAAGATCTTATTGTTGTTGATAGACTTTCACTCTTTTATTCTATAATTTCTAAAATAAACTTTCAATTTCATTCTTCTATTCAAATAGTTCTTGGATTTAATAGTTTTATTCATGACTTCTCTCAAATATCATATAATGATCTTGAAGTATATATTACACCAAACACTAATATTCATATCAATTCTATATGGTTTTCATTTGTCTTTCCACAAATTAATCCAAAGAATTATATTACAGATCCATTTATAATTAAAATAATAAACCATATATATGACTTAAATGATCCAATATGGTTAGAATATCTTTGTGTTTATTAAATATTAATTAAACTCCATTTATTCATTTTTAATTAATAAAAAAATATAATAGAAAACCTTAAATATTAATGAAATGAACTATTGATATTTATTCATCATCTATTCCACTATCTATTCCACTTTCATCATCATCTTGAGGAGGTAAATCAGCAACTTTTTGAATTAATTCAGCCATTTCTGATTTACTAATTTTTATCTCTAAGAATGGATGCTAAAAAAAAGATTAAAATTATGTTCAAAAGATAATTTTAAATAAAATTTATAAAATAAAAAGAAAAGAACAAACTTTTATCATTTCAAATGATGTTTTTCTAAGTTGTGGATTGAGTACTAAACAATCATTAACAAAAGTATTAAATTGAGTACTCCATTTTTCTTTATCTTTTAAAGGAGGAATTCCTTTAGTAGTAATAAGAAATAATGCTCTCATTGGAGGATAATCCATATATGGTGGATTTCCATCAGCCATTTCCATACACATAATTCCTAATGACCATATATCAACTTTTTCATCATATCTTTGACTTCTAATTAATTCTGGTGCCATCCAATATGGTGTTCCAACAATACTTGTTCTATTTGATTTTTGTTTAGTTAATTGTGCAGCATAACCAAAATCAGATAATTTAATACTTCCATCTTTTTTCAATAATAAATTATCTGATTTAATATCTCTATGAACACAATGAAATGAATGAAGATATGTTAATGCTTTTAATGTTTCATTACAAATAAAACTAATAAATTCTTCTGTTAATGGTACTTCTTTATGTCTATCTATAATATCAGTTAAACATCCTCCATTCATATATTCCATTACTAACCATAACATTTCATTAATTAAATAACATTCAATATAAGTTACTACATTTTCATGTCGATATTGATTTAATATAGTAACTTCTGTAACAATTGCTCGTTTACTTTTCTTTGTAATTCTCATTCTTTTTAATGCAACTTCATATCCATCATTTTTTCTTGTTGCTCTAAAAACATCACCAACTCCTCCTTCTCCAATCTTTTCTAAATTTTCATATATTTCATCTGGATCATTTTTATTAATAAAACTTTTTAAATCAACTTCTTTTTCATCAGGTAATGGTTGAATTTGAAGTTGAAATTGTCCATCATCTTCTTTCATACAATTTATTTCTTTTTCATTTTCTTCTTTTTCATTTTCTATTCCTTCCATTTCTGTTAAATTTTTATTATGAAAATCTAATACATCATGAACAATTTCTGGATGTGCTTTAATTTCTTTTTCTGTAATTCCTGATGATTTTAATTGTGCTTCCCATTCTGGTGGAATTCCTGTTAATTCTCCTAATGTATATTCTCCATGATGAATATGTTGAAATCCTTCTGGTTCACTAATAACAAGATTTTCTTCTTTTTCTTTTTTCTTTTTCATAAATGATTTAAACATTAATATCTTGAAATTTTAAAACTATTCATTTTTTAGTTTATTTGTTTTTTTTTTTATTTTGTTTTTTCTTATTTTGTTATTGAAATAAATATTTCTTTTATTTCTTTTATTTCTATATTTATTTATTATTTCTTATTATTTTTTTATTTTATCTTTCTTTATCATTTTTTTTTCACATTAGAAGAGGAACCTTCTAATGCGAGTATGTTAGAAGTGAACTCTATTGTAGAAATAGAGCATATTGAAGAAACTGAAACAATCACTTCTCAATATGAAGAAAATCCAATTATGGATATATCTATTATTTGATATTTTTTTTTTTCTTTATCATTTTTTTTTAATAATATTAAAAAGAAAAATATATTAGTTATTTAAAAGAATATCAATTCTATACTTTTTATCATAACACAAATGGTTGATATAATTCTTGCATCATGAATACTTGATTGTCTGATCCTTTTGCTTCAATCCAACTTGCTTTTTGCAAACATTCATTTTCTGGTTTTTTATCAATTAATATTCCAAGTCTCTTACTAAATGCAATATCTAAATTAGTTGCTTCAATATACATTTCTTTTACATCCATACAATTATCTCCATTAATAAATTGATTATATGAAATTACTCCTTCAATAAGTCTATCAATTTCTTCTGAAATTTCAATAATTCTCTTTTTAGTATATGAAGATAATACAAATCCATTTTTTACAACTTCTGCTTCTAATTCTGATCCTCTCTTTTTAATAGATGTAATTTGATTAAAATAATCTTTGATAGAATCTCCAGTTGATGTAGTAACTGATGCTGGAATATCTAATTCTCCAGTACTTTTGTTTAAATATTTCATTATATCAATAAATGTAGGTGGTGCAAGTACATTCATTGCATGAATAATTTGTGGCATATTAACTATCCATAACCAAATTCTATGAGAAGTAGAAAAAATATCTTTTAATATTTGTATATTTTGTTCTTTAATAACCTATTTTTTTTTATTAATATTCTTTTCAATTAATTTAAATTATATGTTCTAATAACATATAAATATTAATAATAATAATAACAAACTTGTGTAAATGTTTGCATTTGAATTTCAAAAAATTGTCTCATATTATTAATCATATCTCTGTTCTTCATAAAAAATTCATCTTGTTCTTCAAATGTTGGTAATTGATGTACTGAAGTATACATTCTATTAAAATGTGTTGTCCATGTACATCCATCTTGATACATTTGTCTAACATTTTCTGGTAATTCTTGATTTTCTACAACTGGTAATTGCATAGGTATTGCTGCATAATATAATTGAACAACAAATGGAATTTCAAAAAATTGTCTAACTTCAGGAATTTGAATTAAATAACTACTTTTAGTAATTGAATAAATATAATTTGTTAATCCTTTTTTTCTTTCTTCTAAATTTTCTTTAGTATGAACAAGTAATTTTGGTGGTAAATTAATAATACATGGATCATTTGTCACATATTTAATAAGATTGTGAAATGCCTCAAATTCACTAAATCGTTTTGGTGTTGTTTTCCAGATTTTCTTTTGTTTCCATGTAAATAAAATTGTATAAAAATTAACATTCTTATCAACATTACTAACTGTATCTTTTAATGTTATTGTAAAGTCTGTAGTTATTAAATTTTGTTCTGGTGTATTTGTATCAATAATCGTATGCATTCAATATTATTTAATTTTCTTTTTAATTACTTAGTTCTTCTCTTTTCTTTCTCAGTTCCTCTAGAAATTTCTTTTTCTTCTCATTTTCTAGTTCAATTTCTTTCTCTCTTTTTCCTATTTTTCTTTCTTTTTTTTTATAAAACATAAATTTCTTATTTCTTGAATAACAAATTTAAATGTAAACGTGGACCCATTTATAATTTTCGTGGCTATAAAAAGACAAATTTAAAAAAATTGAAAAGACAAAAAAATCTGAAAAAGAAGAAATCTTTTCTTGAATATTAATTTATCATGTTTACCATCAGAAAAGCTACTGTTTGTTTTTTTTATTTTTCATGAAACAATTCTATCAATTTCTTCTTTCTCTTAAATTACTTTTTTTTGGATTATTTAAATTAAATATGTTATATAAATTAGAAAAATAAATAAATGGAAAGTAATCATCTAGCCTGCAGATTTACCTGCAATCCAAAACGTTAATTTGACAAATTTACCAGAGAATTATAATTTACAATTATATTATTATCATTTGATATTATATCCAACATCTTTTGTTGCTGTAACACCAGACAATAAGATTGTTGGATATTGTTTAACTAAAATGTTTGTATCTATTTTTTATATTATCTACTAGTTATTTATATATAGTGAAGATGATGATCCTCATCCAGTTGTTACAGGACAAGTTACTTCTATTAGTGTTTTAAGAACATACAGAAGATTAGGTATTGCAACCAAATTAATTCGAGCTGCAGAAAATAGTATGATTGAAATCTTTGGTGCTAGAGCAATGATGCTTCAAGTAAGAGTTTCAAATAAACCAGCTTTACATTTATATGAAAAAACAATTGGATTTACGTTTGTTTCATTATTTTTGATAATCATTTGATTTGTTTAAAGTAAAGTTGTGTCTTATTTCTTTCTAGTGTAACTAAAGTTTCTAAACATTATTATCTTGATGGCGAAGATGCATTAATTTTGACACACAATTTTACATCAGACACTTTAATTAATAAAGATTGTTCTTCTGTAGTTGTAGATGAATGGAAAAAAGTTATGCAAGAACAGGAAACTAAACAAAAAGAACAACCAACAACTACTAATTGATTGATTTATATGAAAATAACTATCACTCATTTTCGTTAACAAAACAACAAACAACTAAAGACAATATTATAACACAACAACCTCATACCAAGAATTCCTTATAATGATCAAATTATCTCTTCATTACTATATATACCACTAAAAATTTACTCATATTTGTTTATAAAATATACCAATGGTGTATCACTTAGAAAATGACATTTAACTTAGGCCATGTATCTCCTAATGAAACATAACACTTAAATAAAGTATATGTAAATAACTTGGTTACGACGACTCTTAAACCATTAATACTTATTTAGTAAGTAAAACAAACAATTTTCGGAATAGTACAAATACAAAATTATTACTGTATAAAAGAATCAACTCTTTTATCATTTTTAAAAACTCTTAATGTACTATCCTCATTTATTTTAACTTTTAATGTTTTTCTCATTCAGCTTTTAATCCATGTTACAGTTTTTGAATTTAGTGATTATTTTCATAGTTGTTACAGTTAAAACAGTTACATAATTCCTTTAATTTATGATTTAATAAAAGACGAATCTACTAATGGCATAGCACAAAAAGATTATGGCCAATGACACTCTCAAACACTATTGATTTTTAAGACAAAAATAAACACAATAAATTTTAAAGAGTTTAAAGGAAGTTGGTGTATTGTTGTTTTCTTGAATAACTTATTTAATAAATAGAATGTAAATTGCTAATTTAATAGTAGAATAATAAAATAAACTTTATTTCTTTAAATAGTAAAACAAGAGATAAAATTTATTTATTAATTGGTATATTATACTATTATTATTTATTAATTAACATAAGCTACACACATCAACATTTTGTTATTAATCAAGTTAATCACACAGGCAGAAAACAAATGTAATTTATAAAAAAGAATAATTTATCTTTTTCATCAAATTTCAATGAGTAACTTACAAATGAATCGAAACAAAACTGTTCTAACAAAGAAAATAAATAGTTACTTGCAAGGTACTTTGATAAACAAAAGTTGCATTATAAATTAGATTAAGACAATAACAAAGAAATGTTTTAACTCAGTATTAATAAAATATAAAATGGATTAATAAAATTAAAGAACAATGACTTTATGAAAAGAAAAACAGATAAATAACTGATAAAAGAAATAAAATGAAAAGATTACTTATATAAGTTTGGATAAAACATAATTATTAGGATAAAAAATTAATGAAATTATACTAATGAATTTTAAAGAAGAAAAAACATTAAAATATATAAAAATTATTGTATCTGATAATAATAATTTAATTCAGTGTTTGGTTATTAAATACACATACAGTATTATTAAATTATTTAGAATTATTATTTTTGTTGTTATCAATTATTTTATTTAAAGTTCTTATTATACCAAATTTAAAATTATTTTCTCTATTAGTATTTGATATTGTTTTATTAATAAAGACTCTATTAAATGATATATTTCATAAGTTATCTATGTTCTAATATTTGTTCTATTTTTAAATTATTTAATATTTTTACTAATTTTTTAATAAAATAATAATCATCTAATAATAGAATGATAAAAAGAAATAATAATTCATCAAAACAATTAATTTAGTGGTCTAAATTGATTAACAGAATAAAATACTAATTAATAATTTAATCAATTAATGAACTAATTCACAGTTCCAAATTGTTGCATAGCAAGTGTATAATAAAATCCTTTTAAATCTATTAATTCTTGATGTGTTCCTCTTTCTGCAATTCTTCCTCTCATAATAACACATATTTGATCTGCATTTTGAATAGTTGATAATCTATGTGCAATAACAATTGTTGTTCTTCCTTTTGCTGCTTTGTCAAGTGCATCTTGTACTATTTTTTCACTTTCTGAATCAAGTGCTGATGTAGCTTCATCAAGTAATAATACTTTTGGATTTCTAATTAATGCACGTGCAATAGCAATTCTTTGTTTTTGTCCTCCTGAAATTTGTGCACCTCTATCACCTACCATTGTATTATATCCTTCTGGCATTGCTGAAATAAAATCATGTGCATTTGCCATTTTAGCAACAGCATAAATTTGTTCATTAGTAACTTCAACACCTTTAGGAATACCTCTTCTAATATTATCCATAACACTCTCAGCAAATAATACTGGTTCTTGTCCTACCATTCCAATTTGACTTCTTAAGAAATGAATATTTAAATCTTTTATGTTATGTCCATCTAATAATACATCTCCATGTGTTGGATCATAAAATCTTTCAATTAATTGAACTGATGTTGATTTACCACATCCTGATGCTCCAACTAATGCAACAGTCTTTCCTTGTTCTACTTTGAATGAAATACCTTTTAAGACAGAATTATCTGGTCTTGTTGGATATCTGAAACAAATATCTTTAAATTCAATTTCTCCTTTAATCTCATTAAATGTTTCACCTTCTTCACTATAACAATCAATACTTGGTTTTCTATCAATAACATCATATGTATTCTTTGCTGCTCTAACAGCTTTTCCAATATCTGGGACAATATTTCCTAAATTACCAACTGCTTGTGCTGCAAAAATAACTGCCATAATAGCTTTTTGCATTTCTTCAAACTTATCACTGAATTGTACCATAAAATCAGGTACTGGAAGATCATATTCACTCTTCTTTTTAATTAAATATGTTCCAATATAAAATCCATATGGATTCATAACTTGAGTCAATAATGTAGTCAAACAATTGAAAATTGATAACAATGGTGCCCATTTATAAATTCCTCTTCTTGGTTCTCTTAATGCTTCCTTAAATACTTCAAGGAAATGTTCTTCTCGAGTTAATGATTGAACTGTTCTTACTGATTCAACTGCTTCAACAAGAGTAACTCCTGATCTTTCATATGCTGCTTGTGCTGGACAAGCTTCTAATGAATTTAATTTTCCATTAATAAATACAACAACAATTAATACTGGAGATACAGCCATAACACATAATGAAACTCTCCAATCATAATAGAATGCAATACCTAAAGCAAATCCAATTGTAGAAATAATATGAATAACATTTCCAACACGTTCTCCTGAAATTCCTTGTAATGTTGTTGGATCAGATGCAAGTCTTGTTGTTAATGATCCTACCATGTTTTCTTTTCTATCAAACCATGAGATATTTTGATGCATTATTGAATGATACATATCTTTTCTAACACGACCAATCATCTTAAATCCTGCTGATAAGAATAATCCAATATACATAAAGTATGATATGAATGAAGCAACACCTATAACAACAACAATTATACAAATATTTTTAATAGTATCCTTTTGGTCATCAGTAAGAGTATCTGAATTAATTGATAATAAACACATAATTAAGTCAACAATTTTTAATGTAAAGAATGGGAAAATAGCACCACCTCCAATTCCTCCAATAAATCCAAGTATTGATAAGAACCATTCATGTCTGAAATTATCAAGAATAACTCTTAATAATACAAATCTATTTGAATGTTTCAATTTCTTCATTTCATTATTATATTCATCTTCTAATTTTTGTACAACATCTGGATCTTCATTTGTATCTGCATTCTTATGTTGATTAATTTCTTCTGCTTCTTTATTTTCTTGTTCTCTAATTTTCTTTAAATCATTTTCAACTGTTTCTTGATCAACTTCTTCTTCCATACTTTGTCTTTTAACTAATCCATAATATGTTCCTTTTAATTCCATTAATTCTTGATGTGTTCCTTGTTCTATAATTTCTCCTTGATGGAATACACAAATTCTACTAGCATTTCTAACAGTTGTTAATCTATGTGCTACAACAATTGTTGTTCTTCCTTCACTAGCTTTTCAGTGCTGTGTACATTTTTCACTTGAGTGTCAGTGCTGATGTAGCTC